AAATAAACTACACGTATGGCTTTAAAGGGATTACCGGGGTTATTAACCTCTGTGTTTTTCTATTCCGTTGAACCCGGTGACCTTATCAGATTAAAAAAACTTGAACCACAGAAATTAACTGGGCTACAAGAATATTAGGTAACGAGTCTACACATGTGCTACCTGGAGTCTACCTGGAGGGTATTCCGGGGATCAACGCCCTCGCGGACCGGTCAATAACCAGAACTCCTGGTCATTGACCGGGGCCTGATCAACGAGGCTGTTACTGCTGGCCGCACGTAGTCCAACGTATGAACCACAGCCCGGCACTGACTATCTGTCCAGCTCCCTCTTGAAGGCAACTAGGGGTCTATTGGCAATTTGCCTTATGGCTGGTGGGAGGCTGTTGAACAGTCTTGGGCCCCGGACATTTATTGTGTTTTCTCTTAGTGTACCAATGGCGCCCATACTTTTCACTGGGGGGTATGTTGCATCGCCTGCCTCATACACCTAGTGAAAAGTAGGGGCGCCAATGGTACACAGAGAAAACAGAGTAAGTGTCCGGGGTCCAAGACTGTTCAACAGCTCTCCACCAGCCGTAAGGGGAATTACCAATAGGTCCCAGGTTGCCTGAATAAACTTACTAACCATGCCATAGTCGCCCTCATCTTTGGTTGCATAAGCGTAATGCCATCAGTAGTACTGAAGAAAGTACAATAATCTACGCAAACTAATCCCTCTGTGGAGGTACCTTGATGATGCTGAATATTTCCCCTATCCAAGGAGAGGACCTGATTGCCTCCCATACCCCGTGCGTTCTATGCCCCATACGGATTTAACACTTTTCCTGGTTTATAATAAGTAAAATCAGAACAAAGCGAAACGCTGTCACAACTAAATCAGGTTCTGTACCTTTAGTTTCGTTGCAGCTTGCAGTTTTGTTGTCATTTTATTTGTCAGGAGAAATTTGACATTTCCTCCTGACGTGGGTCAAATGACGTCCCGAACCTAGGAATTTTTGCTCATCTGACCGAGGATTCCCACTGCCTTACTGGTCCACACGGTACGAAATTAAATGTCACTTCGTAAGCTGTGGCTGAGGGCTTTCTACCATATTTATAAAACAAGTGATCATGACACGACAGGGCAAAAAGAATTGCTATGAATGAAGGGGAAAGCAGCAAGTTGCTTTAATCTGTACGTTTTGCTCTATGTAGAGCTTTACCAAGAGACTTAATAAAGCAATACACAAAGCGAAACGTTTGTACTAATGGACACATTTTCTCAGTCTGTTTTTATCTCACTGTTGTCAACAGTACGCCTTTGGAATTCACATTTGGGTCCGGCTTGAATTATCAAGTCACAACTCAGTAACTTAATTTGTCAGTTAGCTGTCAACCGTTTTAGCCATGGTTAGGTTAGGTTAGGTAAGGTTCGTCAGGAAACAGCACAAATGTTTCCTGACGCGGGTCTTAGTCAGATGATGACCCGCCTTTGGAGCTTTTGGTTCTCTGACCGAGGCCTTCGCTGGCTTACCGGTCCACCCCTTTAAAAATTATGGTCATTTATAACCAGTGTTATATGTTTTAGCCATGGTATTGAGACTTGCATTCTACACACTTATATACTGCACTAACTTTCAATGCATTCCTATAATTATAATATATACATATACACCTGTAATGCATTCCTTTATATTTTCCTATAATTCTTGATATGCATTTATAATATATGCCAGCTATGTATTTATAATTCCAATGAACATGCTAGAAGTAGTATCTATATAAGCGTTCATATTTGTCTGTATACGTTTTTATATTACTAGAATAACATGCGTTGAGACCTCCTGAAGCTTTCTATTATAAGGAAGAGACAGGCGAAGCAGACTTTTTAGATTCAACACTGATTTCCAGTTCAAAATAATTGTTCTTTCAATCCTGGATCTGCACCACTTGGGCCATCATCTACTACCACGTATTGTGAATTATGCCTTGCCAGCATTTTATTATCGCACAAAAACATTTATTTCAATGTAGAGGTGAAAGCTAAATGATTCTCACTGGACTAACCCACAATCCCGTAACTACAGATGTGAAATTGGCCTTTCCAGTTTTTTAAAGAACCTCCCCTACCCAAATTTACAGATATTTCCTTGCATACATACACACACACACAAATATATATATATATTATTTATATTATTATATATAATATTTTTATATATATATTTATAAGCTTTAAAAAAGGGGAAAGAGCACTGCAACTTGTTTTTATCTTACCATGCTATGAGGTTAGTCACAGTACTCACTGAGATTTAAATATAAATAAATAGTTTAAAATATAGAAAGTATACGTACTAGTGGCGGACGAGCACTCTAGCATGATGACGGGTGTGGGGATGATCGTGGTGTTAGGGGTGCTGCTGGTGTAATGGACGTAGCATTAGTGGTGGTATTAACATTTGTTGTAGTTCAGTTGATGGTCTAATAGGGTAGGGGTGGGAACGTGGTTTTTGAGTTGTCATGGCGATGATACTTGTGCTGTGTGCTAGTTTAATAGTGGTGGGGGTTTACTGGTGTTGGTTGTGCTAGTGGGGTGGTGGTACTGTTTTGGTTGTGCTGTGGGGTGGTGGTACTGGTGTTGGTTGTGCTAGTGGGTGATGGTACTGGTGTTGGTTGTGCTAGGGGGGTGGTGGTACTGGTGTTGGTTGTGCTAGTGGGTGCTGGTACTGGTTTTGGTTGTGCTAGTGGGGTGGTGGTATGGTGTTGGTTGTGCTGTGAGGTGCTGGTACTGGTGTTGGTTGTGCTAGGGGGGGTGGTGTACGGGTTTGTTGGTTGGTGCTAGTGAGGGGGTGGTATGGTGTTGGTTGTGCTGTGGGGGTGGTGCTATCGGTGTTGGTTGTGCTAGTGGGGTGGTGGTACTGGGTGTTGGTTGTGCTAGTGGGTGCTGGTTTACTGGTTTTGGGTTGTGCTAGTGGGGTGGTTTGGTTACTGGTGTTGGTGTGCTAGTGGGGTTGGTGTACTGGTGTTGGTTGGCTAGTGGGGGTGGTATGGGTTGGTGTGCTCGTGGGGTAGGTACTGGTGTTGGTTGTGCTAGGGGGGGTGGTGGTACTGGTGTTGGTTGTGCTAGTGGTGGTGGTGGTATGGTGTTGGTTGTGCTAGTGGGGTGGTGGTACTGGGTTGGTTGCGCTAGTTGGGGTGGTGGGTACTGGTTTTGGTTGTGTTAGTGGGGTGGTGGTACTGGTGTTGGTTGTGTTAGTTGGGGGGGTGGTACTGGTGTTGGTTGTGCTAGTGGGGTGGTGGTACTGGTGTTGGTTGTGCTAGTGGGGTGGTGGGTACTGGCGTTGGTTGTGATAGTGGGGTGGTGGTACTGGCGTTGGTTGTGCTAGTTGGTGGTGGTACTGGCTTTGGGTTGTGCTAGTGGGGTGGTGGTACTGGCCTTGGTTATTTAGTGGGGTTTGGTGGTATGGTGTTGGTTGTGGTAGTGGGGTGGTGGTACGGGTTTTGGGTTTGCTAGTGGGGTGTTGTACTGGGTCTTCATGTGCTAATGGGGTGTGGTCTTGTGTTGGTTGTGCTAGTGGGGTGGTGGTACTTTTTGTTTTACTGGGTGGGTGGTGGTACTGGCGTTGGTTGTGCTAGGGAGTGGTGGTACTGGTGTTGGTTGTGCTAGTGGGGGGGGTGGTACTGGTGTTCTTTGTCCCTAGTGGGGTGGTGGTACTTGTGTTCGTTGTGCTAGTGGGTTGGTGGTACTGGTGTGGTTGTGCTAGGGGGTTTATGGTACTGGTGTTGGTTGTGCTAGTGGGGTGGTGGGTACTGGTGTTGGTTGTGTTTGTGGGGTGGTGGTATTTGTGTTGGTTGTGCTAGTAGGGTGGTGGTACTGGTTTTGGTTTGTGCTATTGGGGGGTGATGGTACTGGTGTTGGGTGTGCTAGTGGGGTGGTGGTACTGGCGTTGGTTGTGCTAGTGGGGTGGTGGGTGTACTGCGGTGGTTGTGCTAGTGGAGTGGTGGTACTGGTGTTGGTTGTGCTAGTGGGTGGTGGTACTGGTGTTGATTGTGGCTAGTGGGGGGTGGTGGTACTTGTGTTGGTTGTGCTAGTGGGGGTTGGTTGTTATGGTTTTGGTTGTGCTAGCGGGGGGTGATGGTACTGGTGTTTGTTGTGCTAGAGGGGGTGGTGGTACTGGCGTTGGTTGTGCTAGTGGGGGTGGTGGTACTGGTGTTGGTTGTGTTTAGTGGGGTGAGTACTGGTGTTGGTTGTGCTAGTGGGGTGGTGGTACTGGTGTTGATTGTGCTAGAGGGGTGGTGGTATGGTGTTGGGTTTGTGCTAGTGGGGTTGGTGGTACTGGTGTTGGTTGTGCTAGTGGGTGGTGGTACTGGTGTTGGTTGTGCTAGTGGGGTGTGGTACTGGTGTTGGTTGTGTTAGTGGGGTGGTGGAAACTTGGCGTTGGTTGTGCTGGTGGGATGGTGGTACTGGCGTTGGTTGTGCTAGTGGGTGGTGGTACTGGCGTTGGTTGTGCTAGTGGGGTGGTGGTTATGGTGTTGGTTGTGGTATGGGGTGGTGGTATTTGGTGTTGGTTGTGCTAGTGAGGTGTGGTACTGGTGTTGGTTGTGTTTAATGGGGTGGTGGTAATTGTGTTGGTTGTGCTAGTGGGGTGTGGTACTGGCGTTGGGTTTGTGCTGGGGAGGGGTGGTACTGGTGTTGGTTGTGCTAGTGGGTGGTGGACTGGTGTTGGTTGTGCTAGTGGGTGTGGTAACTGGTGTTTGGTTGTGCTAATGGGGTGGTGGTACTTGTTGTTGGTTGTGTTTGTGGGGTTGTACTGGTGTTGGTTGTGCTAATGGGGTGGTGGTATTGTGTTGGTTGTGCTAGTGGGGTTACCTGGTTACCGGGGAGGTTACTGGAGGTTATTTCGGGATCAACGCCCCGCGGCCAGGTCCACGACCACCTCCCGATGGATCTGGCCTGATCATGGCTGTTACGCTGCCTCACGCAGTCGACGTACGTGCCCCCCGTGATCCGGCACCGACTTTAGGTATCGTCCGCCTCTCTTAAAGGCAGCCGGGGTGGTGGTACTGGTGTTGGTTGTGCTAGCGGGGGGGTGGGGTACTGGTGTTTGGTTGTGCTAGTGGGGTGGTGGTACTTGTGTTGTTGTTCTGCGGGGGTGTGGTACTGGTGTTGGTTGTGCTAGTGGGGTGGTGGAACTGGTGTTGGTGTGCTAGTGGGGTGGTGGTACTGGTGTTGGTTGTGCTAGCGGGGGGGTGGTACTGGTGTTTTTGTGCTAGAGGGGTGGTGGTACTGGCGTTGGTTGTGCTAGTGGGGGGTGGTACTGGTGTTGGTTGTGCTAGTGGGGTGGTGGTACTGGTGTTGGTTGTGCTAGTGGGGTGGTGGTATTTGGTGTTGATTGTGTTTAGAGGGGTGGTGGTACTGGTGTTGGTTGTGCTGGGTGGGTGGTGGTACTGGTGTTGGTTTTTTGCTAGTGGGGTGGTGGTACTGGTGTTAGTTGTGCTAGTGGGGTGATGGTACTGGTTTTGGGTTTGGGTGCTTGGGGGGTGGTGGTACTGGTGTGGTGTGCAGTGGTGTGGGGTACTGGTGTTGGTTGTGCTAGTGGGGTGGTGGTATGGTGTTGGTTGCGCTGTGGGGTGGTGGTACTGCTGTTGGTTGTGCTAGTGGCTGGTGGTTACTGGTGTTGGTTGTGCTAGTGGGGTGGGTACTGGTTTTGGGTTGTTGCTAGTGGGGTGGAGGTATTGGTGTTGGTTGTGCTAGTGGGGTTGTGGTACTGGTGTTGGTTGTGCTAGTGGGGTGGGGGGTACTGGCGTTGGTTGTGCTAGTGGGTTGGTGGTATGGTGTTGGTTGTGCTAGTGGGGTGGTGGTATTGGTGTTGGTTGTGCTTGGGGTGGTGGTGGTACTGGTGTTGGTCGTGCTAGTATGGTGGTGGTACGGGCGTTGGTTGTGTAGTGGGGTGGTGGGTACTGGTGTTGGTTCGCTTGTGGGGTGGTGGTACTTGTGTTGGTTGTGCTAGTAGGGTGGTGGTACTGGTTGGTTGTGCTAGAGGGGTGGTGTACATGTGTTGGTTGGCAAAGAGGGGTGGTGGTATGGTGTTGGTTGTGCTAGAGGGGTGGTGGTACTGGTGTTGGTTGTGGCTAGAGGGGTGGTGGTACTGCGTTTGGTTGTGCTAGTGTGGGGTGGTATGGTGTTGGTCTTGGCTAGGGGGGTGGGGGTACTGGCGTTGGGTTGTGCTAGTGGGGTGGTGGGTACTGGTGTTGGTTGTGCTAGTGGGGTGATGGTATTTGGTGTTGGGTTGTGCTAGGTGGTGTGGTATGGTGTTGGTTGCGCTAGAGGGGTGGGGGTACGGGCGTTGGTTGTGCTAGTGGGGTGGGGGTACTGGTGTTGGTTGTGCTAGTGGGGTGATGGTACTGGTTTTTGGTTGTGCTAGTGGGGTTTGATGGTACTGGTGTGGTTGTGCTAGTGGGGTGGTGGTACTGGCGTTGGTTGTAGTAGTGGGGGGGTTGGTACTGGGTTGGTTTGTGCTAGTGGGGTGGTGGTACTGGCGTTGGTTGTGAAAATGGGGGTGGTGGTTTATGGTGTTGGTTTTGTAGTGGGGTGGTGGTACTGGCTTTGGGTTGTGCTATTGGGGTGTTGTTCTGGCGTTGGTTGGTAGTGGGGTGGTGGTACTGGTTTTGGTTTGTGCTAGTGGGGTGGTGGTACTGGTGTTGGTTGTGCTAGTGGGGTGGTGGTACTTGTGTTGGTTGTGCTAGTGGGGTGTGGTACTGGTGTTGGTTGTGCTAGTGGGGTGGGGGGTATTGTGTTGGTTGTGCTAGTGGGGGTGTGGTACTGGTTTTGGGTTTTGTGCTAGAGGGGTGGTGGTACTGGTGTTGGTCGTGCTAGTGGGGTGGTGGGTACTGTGTTTGGTCGTGCTAGTGGGGTGTGGTACTGGCGTTGTTTGCGCTAGTGGGGTGGTGGTACTAGTGTTGTTTGTGCTATGTGGGGTGGTGGTACTGGTGGTTGTTGTGCTAGTGGGGTGGTGGTACTGGTGTTGGTTGTGTAGTGGGGTGGTGGTACGGGGTTTTTGGTTGTGATAGTGGGGTGGTGGTACTGGCGTTTGGTTGTGCTAGTGGGATGGTGGTACTGGCGTTGGTTTTTCTAGTGGTGGTGGTATGGCGTTGGTTGTGCTAGTGGGGGGTTTGGTAGGGTGTTGGTTGGGGTAGTGGGGTGGTGGTACTGGTGTTGGTTGTGCTAGTGAGGTGATGGAAATGGTGTTGGTTGTGCAAATGGGGTGGTAGAAATTTGGGTGTTGGTTGTGCTAGTGGGGTGGGTGGTACTGGCGTTGGTTGTGCTAGCGGAGTGGTGGTACTGGTGTTGGTTGTGCTAGTGGGGTGGTGGCACTGGTGTTGGTTGTGCTAGTGGGGTGGTGGTACTGGTGTTGGTTGTGCTAATGGGGTGGTGGTACTTGTGTTGGTTGTGCTAGTGGGGTTACCTGGTTACCTGGAGGTTACCTGGAGGTTATTTCGGGGATCAACGCCCCCGCGGCCCGGTCCACGACCAGGCCTCCCGATGGATCAGGGCCTGATCAACTAGGCTGTTACTGCTGGCCGCACGCAGTCCGACGTACGAGCCACAGCCCGGCTGATCCGGCACCGACTTTAGGTATCTGTCCAGCTCTCTCTTGAAGGCAGCCAGGGGTGGTGGTACTGGTGTTGGTTGTGCTAGCGGAGTGGTGGTACTGGTGTTGGTTGTGCTAGTGGGGTGGTGGTACTTGTGTTGGTTGTTCTAGCGGGGTGATGGTACTGGTGTTGGTTGTGCTAGTGGGGTGGTGGAACTGGTGTTGGTTGTGCTAGTGGGGTGGTGGTACTGGTGTTGGTTGTGCTAGTGGGGTGGTGGTACTGGTGTTGGTTGTGCTAGTGGGGTGGTGGCATTTGTGTTGGTTGTTCTAGCGGGGTGATGGTACTGGTGTTGGTTGTGCTAGTGGTGTGGTGGTACTTGTGTTGGTTGTGCTAGTGGGTGGTGGTACTGGTGTTGGTTGGGGCTAGTGGGGTGGTGGTACTTGTGTTGGTTGTGCTAGTGGGGTGGTGGTACTTGTGTTGGTTGTGTTAGTGGGGGTGGTGGTACTGGTGTTGGTTTGCTAGTGGGGTGATGGTACTGGTGTTGGGTGTGCTAGTGGGGTGGTGGTACTGGCTTTGGGTTTGTGCTAGTGGGGTGGTGGTATGGCGTTGATTGTGCAAGTGGAGTGGTGGTACTGGTGTTGGTTGTTGCTAGTGGGGTGGTGGGTACTGGTGTTGGTTGTGCTAGTGGGGTGGTGTTTACTTGTGTTGGTTGTGCTAGTGGGGGGGGTGGTATGGTTGTTGGTTGTGCTAGTGGGGTGGTGGTACGGTGTTGGTTGTGCTAGAGGGGTGGTGGTACTGGTTTGGTTGTGTTTAGCGGGGTGATGGTACTGGTGTTGGTTGTGCTAGAGGGGTGGTGGTACTGGCGTTGGTTGTGCTAGCGGGGTGATGGTACTGTTGTTGGTTGTGCTAGAGGGGTGGTGGTACTGGCGTTGGTTGTGCTAGTGGGGTGGTGGTACTGTGGTTGGTTTGCTAGTGGGGTGGTGGTACTGGTGTTGGTTGTGCTAGTGGGGTGGTGGTACTGGTTTTGGGTTTGGGTGCTAGGGGGGCGGTTGGTACTGGTGTTGGTTGGGGCTAGTGGGGTGGTGGTACTGGTTGTTGGTTGTGCTAGTGGGGGGTGGTACTGGTTTTGGGTTGTGTTTTGTGGGGGTGATGGTACTGGTGTTGGTTTTGTGCTTCGTGGGGTGGGTGGTACTGGTGTTGGTTGTGCTAGGGGGGTTTGGTGGTACTGGTGTTGGTTTGCTAGGGGGGGTGGTGGTACTTGTGTTGGTTGTGCTAGTGGGGTGGTGGTACTGGTGTTGGTTGTGCTAGTGGGGTTGTGGTACTGGTGTTGGTCGTGTTTAGTGGGGTGGTGGTACTGGTGTTGGTCGTGCTAGTGGGGTGGTGGTACTGGTGTTGGTCGTGCTGTGGGGTGGTGGTATGGTGTTGGTTGTGCTAGTGGGGTGGTGGTACTGGCGTTGGTCGTGCTAGTGGGGTGGTGTACTGGTGTTGGTTGTGCTAGTGGGGTGATGGTACTGGTGTTGGTCGTGTAATGGGGTGGGTGGTACTGGTGTTGGTCGTGCTAGTGGGGTGGTGGTACTGGTGTTGGTGTGCTAGGGGGGGTGGGGGGGTACTGGTGTTGGTTGTGCTAGTGGGGTGGTGGTACTGGTTTTGGGTCGTGCTAGTGGGGTGGTGGTACTGGTGTTGGTTGTGCTAGTGGGGTGGTGGTACTGGTTTTTTGGTCGTGCTAGTGGGTGGTGGTACTGGTGTTGGTTGTGCTAGTGGGGTGGTGGTACTGATGTTGGTCGTGCTAGTGGGTGGTGGTTACTGGTGTTGGTCGTGCTAGTGGGGTGGTGGTACGGGTTTGTTGGTTGTGCTAGTGGGGTGGTGGTACTGGTGTTGGTCGTGCTAGTGGGGTGGTGGTACGGTGTTGGTTGTGCTAGTGGGGTGGTGGTACTGATGTTGGTCGTGTAGGGGGGTGGTGGTACTGGTTTTTGGGTCGTGCTAGTGGGGTGGTGGTACTGGTGTTGGTCGTGCTAGTGGGGTGTGGTACTGGTGTTGGTTGTGCTAGTGGGGGTGGTACTGATGTTGGTCGTGCTAGTGGGTGTGGTGGTACTGATGTTGGTCGTGCTAGTGGGGTGGTGGTACTGGTGTTGGTCGTGCTAGTGGTGGTGGTGGTTACGGGTTTGTTGGTTGTGCTAGTGGGTGGTGGTACTGGTGTTGGTCGTGCTAGGGGTGGTTGGTACTGATTTTGGGTCGTGCTAGTGGGGTGGTGGTACTGATTTTGGGTCGTGCTAGTGGGGTGGTGGTACTGGTGTTGGTCGTGCTAGTGGGGTGGGGGTACTGGTGTTGGTTGTGCTAGTGGGGTGGTGGTAATGGTGTTGGGTTTCGTGCTAGTGGGGGTGGTGGTACTGGTGTTGGTTGTGCTAGTGGGGTGGTGGTACTGATGTTGGTCGTGCTAGTGGGGTGGTGGTACTGGTGTTGGTGTGCTAGTGGGGTGGTGGTATTAATGCTGACGATGCTGTTAGTGCTGGTTCAAGTAGATCTGGTTTTGTTGTTGGTGCTGCTGGAGGTGGTAGAAACCAGTGGTATCTCCTCCCTTACCATCATCTTGGACTCTGGTGAATTTCCGAACGTTTCGTCGATCACACAAACTCGCTAAAATATTTCCGACGTCCTTCGTGCGTGTGTCCAAAGGTTATTAAGTTTAGCTCTTGACCATATTTGTAACGCCCGAGGTTTAAAAATATTGCTGAGTTTTGTTTCGGTGGGAACAGGGGATATTTGAGAGAGAGAGAGAGAGAGAGAGAGAGAAAAAACAATGCACTCAACCTAATTATAAACTTATATATATAAAATATAATTATATATATATATATATATAAAATAATAATAATATATATATTATATATTAATTTTTTATATATATATAATATGTTTATATTTAAATATATATATATATATATATATTATATATATATATTATATAATATATATATTAAAATATTGTGAAGGCTTACTCAGCCCTGTAATAAAATTCAGACAGTATTACTCAGGCTGGAAACCTCCTCAGGAAAATTAAAGAATAGAAAAGAAATAATAACAGACAGACATAAACTTTATTATATAGAAAAATATAAAAAAATAAAACACTTAAATATGAAATATTAATCCTACATTAAAAAATGAAAATGTTAAAAAAATAAATAACTGAATTCAACGCTAATATATAAGGGGTTGTCTGGTGTTGGTGACACTGTTGTTGAAATCGTTTGCCGTTGCTGTGATGGGGGGGGGGTCCAGGTGTTGGTTACGACCCACTGGCTAGTTCTTCACGTATAGCCGTGAGTATTATATCCCGATGACAGGAAAGCAGGTTCTTTACCGCTGCAATGATGTGGGGTTACGTCCTGCAATTTCATACAGGTGCACAGGTAATTAAATCCAAAATGGGACGTCTCCAGGACGTTAGTCCGTCTCCAAACAGTTTTTCTCGTTGATTGACAGGTGACCCTCTCTGTCAAACCAAGCTGAAAAGATAGACCAGGTACTCACTGCTTAAGAAATCACTTCCATGATGAGTACAATACCTAAAAGATGTGGTGATTATTACAATAGTCAATTAGAGCAAGACTGAAAGGACTAGTTTATTATTGGTCAAAAGTGAAGCTTTAACCAATAAATCCACTAGAATACAAGGCAGGCATGTACTTACAGTAGTGCTGGGGAGCTGTGAGTCTAATGATTACTGTTTG